GAAGATGGCAAAAGGACAAGAAGGCGCAGGTATATGTAAGCGAGCGAGAGGACACACAACGTACGACTACATATATATACCTGCGAACAGGTGGTCACGATCCTGTCTTTCTCTCTTATCTCACTTAATTTCCTCGAGCGCCAGGGCCCGGACACTACACGCATACATAGATGTATAGATTTTGCACACACGCACGTACATAACGTAGAGATTGGAGCAATATAATAATATATAAAGGTGGGCATCGCGTGTGTGCCGACGACGACGACGATTTGGTGCACTGCATATGCGGAGAGCTTTAATGCATGCAACACACACACATTCGTGTGTGCACTGTGCATATGGGCGATCATGTGGCGAGATCGCCGCGCATCGGGATGATCGTGCGCGGGGCTTGTCTTATAGGTCTTATATATATTTTTCGACTCCTTTACCGTATACACAAAACATATAACGCGATACAATAACGGCCGGGCCAAGTTCGGAGTCCTTTTCTTTTTTCTCTCTTTACCTCTATATACGCGTTCTGTTATACACGTCTGTTACGTATATAATACGGCTGCGCGCGACGATGACACAGTTTCTTTATGTTTGTGGTTCCACTCTTATCCCTTTTTCTTTCGTTTTTTTTTTTATTTTCTTCTTTTTTTTCGAGGGAAGCAAGCTGCTACCGCTACCGCTCGCCGCCGCTGCTGCTGCTGTTGCTGTTGCTGTTGAGCTGCGTATATGTCGCATAATTGATCGATTTAAAAAGCGCGTGTATGTATACAAGCTGACGAGTGAACCTTTTTATTATATTAATTCCGCTTTTTTTTTAATCAGGAAAAATGAGGCGTCGTGGTGGCTTCGACTAGCGAGCGCGACCATTACTTTTCGCGTTTACGTCCGACCACCCTCTCGGTGTAAAAAAAAAAAAGAAAAAATGAAACTGAAGATAATAAAGCAGAAGAAATGTCGATAAATCGAAGCAAAACCTCGAAGCAGCTGTCAAGTCTCTTCGTTACACACACACATACATACGTTATATATTATAATATACAGGTGTACAATTTTCGCGGCAGTCAGTCAGGTATATTATATACAGCAATGGGCCGGGCAGGTAGACGCGCAGCTAGCACCAACAACAGCAATCACACGTCCGCAGCGATATATACACGGTGCAATAATAATCGAATCTATGTATGTACGAAACGCTTTGAAGAAAACGTGATTGCGTGCGTCGTTCGTTGTAAAGTGGCTGCTACTATATACCATCGCTGCGAGTGGTGGTGAACACCGTGTACTTCATTCATATTTGAGTGGACGCTTCATTAGAGAGGGTGGCCCCTCGCACCACCTCAGAACTTTTATCGTCGCAGCACTCTCTCTCTCTCTCTCTTTTACTTCTCGGCTTTGTTTTTAACATAAATGCGATATACAATTACTCAACTCGGTGCACGACGATATTTCTGAGCTTTTCGAGACTCCGAAATGACACAAATCCCGGCAACATACAGCATATGCCTATATAGAGATGATGAGTCAGCCCTCGACCCGGCGAAGGGGTGAATTTCAGCCTATATCAGCCTATATATGATTAATTTAAAGGGAAGCGGAGAGTGAAAAAGAGAGAAAAAAACGGAGCCCGTGACCGCAATACTTTTTACACCCCCGATTTCCAGCAAGCTGTGCAGCGCAGCTTGTAAAAAAGCTTTGGCGAGTGTCGCGTACATACACTTTCTTGATTTGATATACATATGCGCGCGACTAAGCCATAAAAAAAGGCCATAAATCTATATCGAAAAAAGTTCAAACACACACACTCAACGCTGTCTACGATGTATCAGTGCTCGGTCAGAGCTCATCGCTCGAGCAACGAAGAATGCGCCGAGCAGCATATTATATTATACTACCTACTACTCTCGTTTTACATCGCCGCGCGTACGTGAATAATTGAGCGAGCTAAGTGCGGCTTGTTATATCCGCGAGCTCAGTACATGTATGTATAGGCGAGGAAGAAAAAGAAAAACAATGTCTAATAATAATATTATATATTGCATTGTATATATTGCTGTCGAGAAGAGCTTTTTGCGCGGGAGGGAGTGATAACGAGGCTCTTTCCTTTCCTCCCCTTATGATAACTATACGACGAAGACGACGATGATAATGACGATGGATACACGATCATTTTTTATGTATAAATATCGTTTGCCAACACACATACGCGTGCACAAGAGAGAGAAAAGAGTTTTCCTTTCCACGGAGATTGTCAATATTTAATGCGATCAGCGCAGGAGAAAATTACACTCCAAAGTCCACACGTGTGTGTATGTTTCTGTCTATATCATGACGCTCGTTTTGCCGTTACACACGCGATATACGTTACGCGGATACAGACACGATATTTGCGTTTACATAGGCTCGCGCGCTCGACTCGAGCCGTTAACGATTCGATAGATCAAAGCCCGTGTACGTATACGATGATATAGCCTTTCGTCGAATTGATTTTGACATTAGCGATCTGCGAGGACGGGCGGGTAGGGAGGAAGGCGAGCTCTGTTTTTTTTTTTTCATTTCATATCCTCGCGCCACACGCGGCTTTATTATAACTATAACGCAGCCGCAGCGGCAACAGCTAATGAACGCGCGAGTTATATAGAATATATAAAAATAATGTTCTGCGTATATATATAAGAAAACTCACGCTCTGCTTTTCACTCAGCAGAGCAGCCTCTCTAGTTGTAGCGCCTTTTACGACTCTTCTTCTTCTTCTTCACTTTTTTATTTTATAATTATCGGCTCGAAAGTACTTTTTATTATTATTATTCATCTATAAGTGCGTGTAATTCTCTATTCTCTTCTTTTCCTTTTTTTTTCTGGCTCTGTATATATAATGTATCTGCGCGCGAGCGGGCGCGGTGCTCGTGTGCATCGTAATAAGAGAGGAAGTAAGACCGTGGCTCTGCGCTTGTTCTTAGGCGGCGGCAGATTTTTACGATTCTTAACGGCACTTGACTTTTCGAGATCGATTATTGGAGCTCGGCTCCGTGCGTATATTTATGATTTTTTACGATTCTTTTCTATGGAAGCGCGCGCATTCGAGAGAGAGAGAGAAAGAGAGACAAGTGCGTGAGAATAATTTGCCCGATATGTGCTCGAGCTGCTAAGGCCACACCGGTTCATCAGCAGGCAACGCGAGCAACGAAGAAGAGAAGAAAAAAGATTTCCCCCGTGGCCCTATATATATACGTGCGGTATATAAATCGGTATGGCCAAAAAATTCCGTCGCGTCGGCTGAGAGAGAGAGAGAGGCAGCTCTTTATAATAGCCCTGCTGTACTGTCATCACTCTCTGCTAAATCAGCTACACACACATGTATATATACAACGTATCACTGCGTGGCACACGATGCTGCTGCTGCGGATCTGCTGCTGCGAGAAGGAGGCGAAAGAGAAGTGACGAGAGAGAGAGAACCGGTTCACGCGTGTATATGTACTATATTAAAGGGTGAACACTGAACACTGCGCCGAGAGGCAGCAGCAGCAGCTACCGAACGAGTCGAGATTCTTCCGGGTCGTTGTCGTACGCGCGCGCGCTTCTACAAGAGAGACTAAAGAGCGCGAGGAAAGGATCCTTCTCGGGAGACAATTATTTATTCTTTATAAACACCTGACGACGACGACGACGAGCACTTGAGACTCGATCGATCGCTCGAGCTCTCCGCGATCCATAATGTAATATAAAGATGATGATGATGATACGTATCGATATGCTGCACAGATTACAACCGATTTTTCAACGCCACGACACTCGAGAGAGCTACGTGCAATATGTCACTTTGACTAAACTACGTGTCTCGCGCGCGTATAAGACTTCTTCTTTTTCTTTTTACTACTGCTATACTTATACTGCACTACAGTCGATCGAGATTTTGTAAAAGTTGGTAAAAATAGTTTATTCTCGTATCGGAATGTATCACAGCTTTCTTGCCTCTCTTCCAGTCTCCTTGTATAGCATGAACGAGCTGACGAGGAAAGAAAAAATCGGCAGAAGCCGATCGATTATCGACTACTCTCAAGCGCGCACGTAGCGTATACAAGCGCGAATGAGAAGAGAATCTTCGCGCGCGTAGAGAGAAAGAGACAAAATATTTCAGATGAAAATCCCCGGCGTACGCGGTGCGAGTCGTCGATTTTTCTTTCGAGAAATTACACAGGCAGTATGTAGTAGTAGTAGTAGCGGTTCGGGATACAAAAAGATCAGCGCGAAGAATAATGAGAAGTAAAATAAAAAAAAAATCGTTAATCCAAAAGAGATGATCGTTGTGCAACTGCAACTGCGCTCGCGCGTTTTTTCGGTATAATTTCGGCGCAATGTGCATATCTCTCTTCACGTGCACGCGTATCATATCATACGGCAGCAGCAGCAGCAGCCGAAAAATGTAATAATATCAAGGCAAAAAAGCGGACAGAGGCCACGCCTCGATCGATCGGATTGCAAATTGGCCAATTTACCCGCCGCTGCGTTGCGTTGCGTTGCGCGCCCCATGCCACCGAACGCACACAACTGCAAGTGCGCACAGTCCGAATAGTTATACACACGATGCAGTTGGCACGCATTACGATATGATGCGCTCGCTTGCTTTTCAATCTTTCTTCTTTCTCTCTCTGTCTCTTCGTGCGCGTCGAGAGAGGCGCAGAAAAAGTCAGGTGCATGGCTCGACGTATCGCAATTAAATTGATTTCTTCGCGCGTCGACGATGATGTGTGTGCGCTGCTCGTCTTCTTTTGCGCGCCGAGCTTTGATTATATCCAAAGAAATTCGTGAAATTTGTGTTTGCTCAGCGATCGACGCGCGCATCGTATTCCAGGGATGCTCGCCGAGTAATTATTATCGCACATGTATGTAATGACGAGTGTACTGCGGGGGTATGAAGGAAGGTAGAATAAAAAATCCGGTTATGTATGTTTAAGAAAAAAACAATTACTTTTTTTTTTATTATTTTCTATATATCTCCTCGTCGTCATCATCATCACAATCATCATTTTCTTCCGTGACTTTTTTTTTTCGTTCGTTGCATGGTAAAATATAATTTTTGGTAAATATGCTTACAATGTAAGTTTTCATAATAATTCAATTCAATTTTACAATCGAATTGCGCGGCTGTCGTGCGGCCTACAATGTAATAATTATAAAAAAAAGATTATAGCAACATTAATATTATGATATCATACGCACGGATTGATTCATATAATAATAATTGGTCATGATGTCGATCATAATATTAGCGGTGCGCTACAACGATGAATTATTATAAAAATTCAAATGACGCATCTTTAAACTGTATAAATTATAAATTATTTATCCACACATTATAATACACAATAGTACAATAGTCTTTCTACACAGATGAAAAAAAGGCACAATGCGTAAATATGAAGTTCTTTCGTCGATCATCAAATTTTTCTACGATTGCGAATCATTTCGATTAAAAAACAAACAAACAAACAAACGAAAGATTTCGTGTCGCTACATTCTCAACGACTTAGTTTCTACACATCTTTGGTTCTCCTAGCCGCTATGAATTTCTCCTGCCGGATACAATGATCGTGAACAAAGTCAATATCGATAATTGGGAACAACGGTATAACGCACGCTCGTTTCATATAATACAACGAAAATTTTTTTTTCGCACGAGCTATAATCGAATACGTCGACACGCGTGTATTACTAATATTTATGGGGCGGGGACGGATACGGTCGCGATGTACGACGATTTTTTCAATCGGCGCGCGATACGTTACATATTCCACGTTATAAAATAATAATTGCAGCAACAAAGAGAGATTCAACAATAATAGAGAGAAAAAAGAACGATCGTTTCTCGAGACTTCTCTAGCACGAAATTATTCATACGTATACATATGAATATAAAGGGGTACACACAACGAGATATACACTGTGGACGGCTTTGGTTCGACAGACTATATTATGACACACGCACGGTATTTTTTTTTTTATTTTTTTCAATCATCATTAATTATTTCAATTAACCTTTTTTTTTCGTTTTCCAAAGTTTGCATCAGAAGAAAAAAAAATGATCGTCGCGACGCAATCACACGTATATAATAGAATTACCTAAATTAGGAGCTATGTACAATTCACTAATTAAATTATTTTTATTAAGAATATACAATTGATTAAACACGCACTCGATGGTGCAAGAATCGAGGTAGTCTTAATTCGCGGCGACGACGACGACGACGCGCGTGTCCCGATTAGATCGGGAGGGGCCGCCTGTGTCCGTGGCCAAGACTAGCATTAAACCATATTACTTCGAACGCATCTGTGGCTGCGTTTCTTTCGTTTTATTCATTATTTTTGTTTTTACTTTAAGTCAAGTCGAAAAAAGAGAAAAGTGTGTCATTTTGTTTGTGAAATTGCAAAAAAAAAGCAACGAGTAAAAACATCGTTACGGTGCAATTCATTTTTCTGCTCTTACTTTTATATAGATTTTAAAAATTAACTTGATCATTATATAATAATAATAATAATAATATATATAATATATATCTATACATAAATATGTACAATTATTAAGCGCGCGGGCGCGCGCGTTGATATCCGCATACGAGGATACGAGATAAAGAGAGAGAGAGGAGAGCTAATTAATCTTAATCAATCTAGGCACAAATAAAGGCCACGCGTTGCAATTGACATATATAAACTATATATACCGTATACATGCGCACGCGCGCGTGTGTGTGTGCGTTGTGTTGTGTTTCTCGTCTCAATTTCTCACACAGCGAGTGAGAGGCGACGACGGCACGGGAGAAATCGCCGCCGAGGGGGGCGGGGTGGGAGGGAGCTGCCGATTCGGTTTTCAAGCGAATCGTATAGCGGCGGAGCTCTCTAGGCGTCGATCGTCGAGCCGACGCAGCTCCGGCTCTCGAGCTCGTCATCGCCATCATCATCGCCTCCCGCGGCGACCCAACAACCCCACAACAACGGGGGGCTCCACGCGCGATGTGTGTCTCCGGAGAGATTCTCCCGCAATGATCTCGCGAGAGACGACGACTACTACCTTGGTCGCTTGAAGCGATTATTTCTATTGTTACGGTTACGATTGTTCGATTCGTTGTCGTCGTCGTCGATGTCGCTACTGTCTTGGGCCGGCAACCTCACCAAGGGCCGCTCCTAGTATCGAACCTGCGACTGTTGCTGTTGCTCCTGCTGTTGCTGCTGGCTTCCCGATGGTCCTGCCGCTGCTGCTACCGCTGCCGCCTCGGCCAAGCCACTACTACTGGTACTGGGCATGTTTGCGTCGATGTTTACCCGACCTTGACGATCGTCGCCGTCGTTGTTGTCGACTGCCTCGTGGCTGTTGCTGTTGTTGCTCTTGCCGTTGCTGCTGCTGCTGCTGCTGCTGCTGTTGCCGTTGTTCTTTCTCCTGGGCGGCTCCTGGGGCTGGAGCGGCACGAGCGGCTGGGGCGGTGCCTGCATCGCCTCGTAATCGAGCTGCGGCGCCGATGGGTGCTGGCTCTCGCGGTGGCGGCGCAGATCCACCTTGCGCTGGAACGCCTTGTCGCACAGGGTGCACTGGAAGGGCTTGTAGCCCGTGTGCTTGCGCATGTGGGTGATGAGGTTGCTGGACTGGGAGAAGGCCTTCTGGCACACCACGCAGACGTGTGGCTTTTCACCTGTTTAGAGAGAACAAGACAAAAAAAGGGAAAAAAAAACATTTAGAACGGTGACACAGATTGTAACGAATTTTCATAGGCGGGGCACAAGGGGACAATGAGATTTTTCGAATTATATAATCAAAATACCAGAATCATTATAATCGAAATACCGAAAAATCATTGGAGCGTGCGTCCGATCATAATTCTCGCTAACGAAGCAACTCATAATACAATAATGATCGATGATCCATGATTTTACGTCCGCTTATTAATAAGCGATTGCACTCGGAGACGAGAAGAAAAGAATTCCCGAAAGCCTAAACTACTAGTCTTGTACTCTCGCATTAGTATGCGCATACATCTATCTATCCTCAATATAAACCCGAGTTTGTGTGTGCCGTGTATAATTTGGCTTATCCAAGTGCAGTACATGCAGTAGAAAGGGGAGAGAGAGAGAGAGAAAAAAAGTTTTCCGCATATATATGAGGAGAAAAAGAGAGCGACTAGGAGCAAAGGGTTATAAGCAGCTGCGCACACGAGGGAAAATCAATTTTTCGATTATGCATAAAAGAAGCTCGCTTAGTCGTATTCTCTAATAATTCCTATGCAGTGCGCGCGGGCGACCGATTGATTATTTATACAAATAGGCACATGCATCGTCGGCGCGAGGGCATTTTATTCCGTGTATGCGAAAAAAGGGGAAAAGTGTAAGTGCAACGGGAACCCTTGCATATAGTTTTTTCTTCTTCTCTTATTATTTTTTTTTTGTTTTTGTTTCTGTCGTTGACAATTCGACGAGTTATAATTATATTCAACGATATCGAACGAACGAGACGATTCTCTCTCGAAAACCCGCGTAATCATCGTCGCGGCGCTGATTTTTGCAATCAATCGTACACAACGTATACACTTTTGCACTCGCTCCGCGTCTCTAACCTACTTATCGAAATCCATCCCAGCAACAGTAGTGTACAATCGCGCGCACAAACACACAAACGTACGTACGTAGAGTCGCATTTATTTATGCGGTAACGAGCCCGGTGAGTCGCGTTTTTTCCCGTGTTTACCTTCGGCATTATCTGGCATCGCTGCGCCTCGACGACGACGACAGGCGCAAGAATACGTGTATATGTATAATCGAGTGAAAACACCGATGCGGGCACAGCACGCGAGCTCGATGATTTTTTTTTTATATCGAAAAGCAAAAGAATAATAAAATGAAAAAATTCGCGGCTCGCGTCGTAAATTAACGTATCACTGCCTCCTCTATATACGATAGATAATTTTCGCGTAGAAGAAATAAATAAAAAAAAAAGGACGAGCGCAATCGCGTGGCATAATCCGAAACGGCGGTTAAGGGCTTGTGCGCCTCGAGTGTGTGCCATACTCGTAGTATATATAGCACACATTTCATACACCGTTGCGCACATGCACTCCTCGAATTTAATTAGTATCGCGCGTACGCACTCACATACACACACACATGCTGTTAGCCGTATATAACGGGTGCGCGCGACACACCGTAAGGCGGCACGTGCCCGACCGGAAGTGCTCCTTATAATACGCGCCGCACATCCCTTAAGCCCCCGCTCGAGCGCGCAAGCATTACTGCGCTGCGCGAGTTTCTTCCTTCTTCCTTTTTTTTTTTTATTCCACGTTGCATTATACCATTCTGCCCTACTCATCCTTCCGTTATGGTGAAAAAAAAGAAGAAGAAGAAGAAGAGAAACAGAAGAAGGAGGATTGAAGTGGAGACACGATAAATGGCACACACGCACACGATCGGTTCTCACGAGAATTGTTTTCGTCGCGATCTAATGCACGGTCAAATATTTGCTCGTGATTATTTCTCATATTCTTCCTTTCCCCTTTCTTTTTTTTTTTTTGTATTCGTCATGATTGATCGTGTGACAAATCGAGTGATATATACATATGTATCGTATCTACTTTTGTACGCGAATACCTCGAAGAAGAAGGTGGTAAAGTATAGCGCGTACAGTACCGACGGCTAGAGGCATTGAATTTTAATCAAGTCCGCGTGTAAATACATAGATAGATACGAGGCACGTCGTCAATTTTCCATTTCTCTCCTTCTCTCTCCTCGAATAAATGGCTATTTAATGTCGTCGGCATTGACAATGTAAACTTACCGAGTCGCGTTGATACGTACATATATGTAGTCAAATTGTATCGCCGTCACAAGCTCAGACCCCCCTTTCATACGGATAGTAGATAGTAGTATTAGAGAAGAGAGACGGTAAAACTTTGCATGCGATATTTGTACAAGACCGGTTATTAGACGCGGGTTGATTATCTTTTTTTCTCTCTCTCTCTCTCTCTTCTCTTTTTCGTCGGAATCGCGCGATAATAGCTACATTTTGCAGTTTTTCGGAAGTACATCGATGCACAAACGTATCGTCGACGTTTAATTTTTATCAATAATGCAGAGAGAAGAGAGAAAGAGTTTGGAAATAAACCCGCGACGCGAGAGAGAGAGAGAGAGAGACAAGTGCGCGCACACTCACCGGAGTAAAATGATAATTACCTTACTTTATACCTGTGCGCTTCACGCCTCGCGCTCGCGAAGAATCAATATTTATGCCTTGTGCAGCCAAGAGAAAGAGCCACGATATAATAATGTATTTACGCGAGGTAATATAAAAAAAAAAAAAAAAAAAAGAATTGGATCTCTTGTGCACGCGCGATCATAAATCTTTCAGGCTCCGTCGGAGCTCGTATACGTACAATTTTTCGAGGCTATGCGAAAATAAAAAAGTATATAGTGGCGGTAGAGGAAATAGTACGAAAAATAGCGTATAAGATAATTAGCCGAAAACAAAAACAAAAAAGCAACGATTTTCGATCAGTGCGCCGCGCGCAACAGCAGTGGAAATCCGAGCGCTCTATGAATAATCCATTACTAAACGTACCGAGGGGCGCGTAAATCGAGGGGGGGGGGGCGGCAATGAATAAATAATGGCTTAATTTTCGGTACACAAATGTATATTACTCACCGGTATGTATGTAGGTGTGCTTCTTCATGTCGCTCTTCTGGTGGAATCGCTTGCCGCAGAAGGTGCAGGGGTAGGGCCGCGTGTCCGAGTGTATCAGCAGATGCGTGCTGAGCGTGCTCGATCGCTTGAAGATTTTGCCGCATTCGGAGCACTGCAAGCAGAGAACAAAAAGAAAAAGGAAATTAGCATGTGTGACGATAGGAGAGTACTATTATTTGTTATATTATGTGTCGAGTGTGTGTATGCGTGGCGCCTGCCTCAGACAGAGAGACAATGCGCTAGACGTGCCGCCGCTGCACCGACAACGCGCTCGGACTTTTAAAACGTGGACCGGTATTATATGTCATGTTTTATATATATGTATGTTATACGGTGTGAATGTTTTGTTGTTGCTTACTTGTTTCTTGTTCGATACGTGTGATTGGGCAAGGACGAGTGGCCGGGCTACGTGTTGTGGTGCTTGTGGCTGCAGTTGCTGCAGTTGCTCGAGTGGAGCTCTCACCTGGAACACGCGCTCGTTGTTGACGAGCTGCGACCTGTGCTGGACGAGCTGCTGGCTGTTGCGCCTCTGGGCCAGCTGATGCTCGCCCTCGCCCTCGCTGCCCGAGCTACGTGGACGCGGTCTCTTGCTCTTTTGCTGTGCTTTTCGTTGTTGCTGCTGTGGCTGCTGCTGTGGCTGTTGTGGCTGTTGCTGTTGTTGCTGATGTTGATGATGATGCAGCTGGATGTGTTGCGGTTGATACGGTTGGGGATGATGATAGTGCTGCTGCTGCTGCTGATGATGACTGACGATCACGGAGGTCGAGACGGAGCTTCGGCCCTTGGACTTCTTGGCCTCGCGCTCGCACAGCGTGCCCGGCGACCAGATCTTGCCCTTGGTCGCTTTGCTGGCGGCGCTCTTGGCGGCTTTGCCGCCGGCCGAGTTGGCGACGACGACGCTCATCGAAGTCAGCTGGTTATTGCTATTATTGTTATTGTTGTTGTTGTTGTTCTCGCTGTTATCGTCGTTGTCCAAACGCGCGGGCGACTTGGTGCTGAGATTCAGCGGTCCCTCGGTACTGTCGTTGTGATCCACCAAGCTGCCGCTGCTGCTTCTGCCGCTCAGACTCAAGCCGCTCGTGCTACTGCGGCTGCTGGTGCTGCAAGCGCTGCTGCTCCCGTGGCGATGGTGGTGAGGGTGGTGGTGCGGAAGGTGCTTATCGGGGCTCGTCTCGTAGGCTGCTCGAGCCAGCTGGGCCTGGATCGCCTGGGCCATCACCGGGACGCCACCCACCAGTGGGGGCGAATTGCACGACGACTCGGGCGGACTCGAGGGTGCGCCGTAGGCCACCACCTGCTGGTGCTGCTGTTGCAGTCGCTGCTGATTGTACATCGCCGCTGCGGCGGTCGCGGCTGCGGCGGCCGCGGCCACCGCCTGGTGCTGCGTGTTCAGAAAGAAGCCGGCGTTCATGGCGTGACGCGCCCAAAAGTTCACCATGTCGTCGTAGGTCGTCGACTGGCTGGTGATGTACGGGGCGATTGTCGACGCTGAACAAAACAAAAAGATAAACAAAGCACGTGAATGGACCGTCAGCTGTTGTGGTTTTTTTTTTTAAATCACGGACGGATACGGCTACATACCTTCGGTGACCACCGGCTGTAGCTGTAGCTGTAGCTGCTGCTGCTGCTGTTGCTGCTGTTGCTGCTGCCGCAGCACTAGCTCGAAGGCGGAGACGCGCTCCTCGTGAGTCGGCGGATTGCTCCAGCCCAGAGCCGAAGTGGCAAGCAGCTTCGCCTGAGGAGAGATCGGCGGCGACAGCGAGCCGGGCGACATACTGCTGTCGAAGCCCATGGGGAACGGGATCGGCTGCTCGACAACTCGCTGCTGCTGCTGCTGCTGTTGCTGCTGTTGCGACTCCTTTTGGCCGGATCTCTGCCACTGATCCGTATTGTTGTTGTTGTTGTTACTTTCGTTGTTGTTATTGTTGTTGTTGTTGTTGTTGTTGCTGCTGACTTCTGTGCGAAATATTCCAAAATCATTGAAGCACGTGTCGATATTTAGCGCGAAATGATAAGCGAAAAAAAAAACGATAAAAATCTCGGCCTAGAACAGAGACGGAGAGAGACGGAGAGAGCACTCATGCGTATACACACATACGGCGCGCGGTGTATACTCGATTAATTAATGAAATTCTGCGTGCGTAAACGTGACTTATTAATGTCAAACAAATCAGCGCGACGCGGAATTTTCCCCCGAAATTCGCCTAGAAACACCGATCGTAACGCACACAAAAAAACACGCATTATCTCGCACGCGTCGTCTATCGAACACGCTGATTTTTCGAAACGTTCTTTTTTTCCTCCTTTGTTTTTTGTTTCTTCCTCTCTGTTTGGACAACCGCGCGCGCGCGCGCGAGAGAGCTATCTCTAATTCCGGGGGCCCACGAAGCCGCGTAAATAAATCCCGTCGCGCACGGTAATAAGTTAAATACAATCGTACGAATGCGGTAATCGGTATGTGTGAGTGTGCGTAGGCAAATATTTCGTCAAATATATATGTATGTGTTGTATTAATCATCGGCACCTGCTTCGTGAGTCGAGTCGGAGGAATCTCCGACTTCGGACTTTTTTCTGGAAAAACTCCGCCGCTGCATCGTCGTCGTCGTCGTCGTCGTCGTCGTCGTTGGCGCACTCAACACACATAAACGTGAAAATTGACACTCGCACACGCGGCGCACACGATACCACGCGACACACAGGTAAGAGATAACGACGCGTTAACACTGAGAGCGATTCATTCTCGGCGTCTTTATTTATTATTTACTGCCGTCGTCGTCGACGTCGTCGTCGATTTTATTTTTTGCTCCGAAGCTCCTCCCGCCGTATCCATACAACTACTACTACTAGTAGTGTACTGCCCGTCGTTCGCCGAAGGCATGACTATTCAAATAATCGGCCATTAAAATCTCCCGAGATGCTAAGATTTCTCTTTCTCTCTCTCCATCTCTATTTACAAATACACATCGCGTAGTAATACGAGGCGATGAATGAATATAGGCGAAACCGTAATAATCTCGGCCCGCTCTTGGCCCCTCCTCTCCGCGATCGTTAGATGCTACATTAGACTCGCGCGGCTGTGATTCGTTCGCGTCGAATAGCGACGCGCGCCCGATTCGAATTTTGACATCACGTCATCGCGATCGAGATGTAGAAAAAAATAAAGAATAATAAACTCACCACACATGTTTTCGGGGTCGAGGCAGGCCTTGAGCTGCTCGCAATGGTCGATCTCTACTTTCTTCCCTATCTTGATGGATTTTCGTAAAGCGCGAGTATCTCTCGCGACGGCAACCAGGCTCATAGGTACGATTGCACAAAAATCAACCGAAAAAAAAGGGTAATGATTCACACTTTGTCACTGTTTCATTTAGAAAGAAGTAGCAGTCGATCGTGCACTGAGTCTGCAGACGAGAGAAACGAGAATGACTGGATCCTATATCTCTCACTCTCTCTGCTCACGTTTGATTTCAAAGTTCAAAATTGTTTTTTTTTTTAACTCTCTTCGAAAAAAAAAAAAATTGTAACAAGTCCACAAGTACGCGTAGTATTATTATATCGTGTACATTAAAAAAATAATATCAACGCTGCTCTCTGCACTCTTATAAACTGGTCGTTGTGCAGCTCGATCGGCACTCGTGGACTAACTGAGAGGTCTAGCGTGCGAACCGCTCGTGTTAAAGCCAAGCCCGCTGCATCACACGTGCCGCCCCACCACCGGCCAGCACCACCACCACCGAGGAATCGCGACGGCGGCGGCACTTCTCTTTTTTACAGCCCCCTCTCTGTGGCCAGCAGCCGTTGATGCTTTCGAAATATAATGTATATGGTATAGTATAATATGGTATACCTATACTACTCTCTATCCCCTTTTTTTTCTTCTCTCTCTCTCTCGCACTTTTATATGTATCTCTGCTAGCTCCGCCCAACCAGCTCTCCAAAGCGTTACGGAGCGAAACGAAGCAGCTTACACCTAGCTCTCTCTATAATTTAACTATCTCGAGATATAATAAAGAATAAAAAAGATCTGGGCAAGTATATACGCTCGATAAACAGGCCAGAATTATTTTTTTTCGTACATTTACTCAACTCGTATATATGTACTTCAATGATCGGTTATTAAACCGCGCAGCTACGATTATTGTTTTACGTTACATACTGTTGATTTACGAAATCGGTCCGGGCGATTGGAGACGGGCGACGACGGGCCTATTTACACGTAGTGTACATAATGTACAATATAATGTACAAAGTGTATAATCGCGAGAGGCAGCAACGATAATGATTTGCCAGCAGCCAAGCCACCAGCCAGTCAGTCGCGATTCGCGATTGTTCGTTGAACTCGAAAAATATATAAACAAGCGCGACGTTGTATATACAATCCGCGCGGCGATGATGATGATGATAATTAATTCCATTTTTTTTCGCTCTCTCGCTCTCCGTTTTCATTTTTCTTGTATTTTATCATGAGATGGAATTTTTATCGTCACGCGAGACACACGAATCAAAGTGTATTGCTTTTTAAATAATAAACACGACTAATATATATAATGGAAAACAGTTTGCTCGCGCAATTACATTATACATTTCTTTCTTTCTTTCTTTCTTTTTATTGAATGTTTATCAAAAGTTCATGTACGCAGATGCCAATTTCGCTGCGCGTGTTGATACATCATTGCCGAGCTGCGGCGGCGACGACGACAGTGATTTTCCAAATCTCTCGGATCGCGGCGTATAAAGCTCGATTTTGCAATTGCGTCGTCGTCGAGGAGAGACGTTGTTTGAGCAGTAAACATTGTTTTTTTCTTCTTCGCCCGATTTCGGGCCGCCACCGCCACAGACGCGGAGATTTCCTAACGCGCTCTTGTTTGCTCGTTGACGATAAATAAACACGAATATTATAATATTCTCCGTAATCGTGGAAAATAATCGAAGCCGAGATAAGACGCGGGTGTATATATTTACGCGCGAAAAATTGTTAAATAAAAGATCGCAGCGAGCGAGAAGAATATGAAAAACAAAAAAAAATGAAAAAAAAAGGAAAAGGAAAAATCCGAGTGCATAGGAGCCGAGGCGAACGAGCGAGCGCGTGCGCATCGTCGTATACAGTCGTGTGCGCGGGTGGTGGGCACACGGTATTAATACGCGCCGGCGCGAGAAAAGAGAGACTCGACGAGCTCGGATTGGTCGTGTGGGCGTTATAGATCTCATTGGCGAGCGGCCGAGTGGACGCCCCGGATATCATCATAGTGCAATGTAATGCTGCTGCTGCTGCCGCTGGTGGGGCTTTTACTCCGGCGCAGAGAGATCGCTGTTATACGAATAGCTCCGCGTCGTAATCTCTCTTTCTCCTTTTTGCTCTACGATTGTACGATTGTACGATTTCTCGAATGGCCAATGTGCACAGATATTATCACGTTTTTGTCATCGAAAAAACCTTATCGTGATAAGATTTTTTTTCCTTCTCTTCTCTATTCTTCTCGTATTATCGCGGATCGTGTATGTTAATTTTTCATACTTTTCATTTCTTTTGGTATGTTACGTCATTTACGCCTATTTAAACAGATGTCGATTTATATATTTATTTAATATAGTAAATATAACTAATCAACAATGAGAAACCAAGAATCTTCTGATTCCTGTTACAAGTAAAAGAAGAAGACGAACAAGAACAAAAATTGTCTTTTCGACCATACACTCCATTGATGATATATCTCTCGCGCACACAATACGTAGCGCCCGAGAAAATAGGACTTTCCACAAATTTGTGTCAACTCTGTGGTCTCTAATTGGTGGCGCAGTGGTGGTGGGCATCCACACACACACACACACACACGCACACAGACGAAAGAGTCGTCATCGTTGTCAGTGATTAATGATGCGCTCTTCAGGTGACGACTCTTTTCTTCGTGCGCACGACGCATCGATGATTAATGAAATTAGGAAATCTCTGGTGCTCCTATTTTGCTTTTCTCGGTAGCTAACGAAATTTCTCATAAACATTTTGTATATTAATAAATATTTATGAGCGTAATACGCGCCTAGATGAACGCGCAGCTCGTCCGCAGCTGATGCTGCATGGCTCGTCTATCTCCCTTTATTAATATTATTATTATTAATATACACGAATCAAGTGCAGTGAACTGACTTTTTATATCGGTTAAACAAACCGACCCGATCGCTAACGCGATGGGGCTATTCTTATCTTCGATCGAAGAAAAAAAAAGAAGAAGAGCGAGAAGATACAATAAAAGAAAAACGGCTGCACAGGTGTTGATATTGTAAAGGCCGTCCCCACGTCGAAGCGATAGATTCCGTTGTCTCTCGATCGAGTTGAAAAATTAATAATAAAACGCATTACTCAACATAATTGTCAAAGCGAGCGAGATAGAGAGTATAATAACTATATAGCAATTGACGCACGCGCGCGCGCGCGACAATTGCAACGAGCGCAACGAGCGAGAATCCCGTTTGTTTTCACAGACTGAAACAACAATCGGTCGCGATCGGGTATAAGTACGTTGAATATGTATCCGGGGGCAACAGTCGCACCGATCCAGTCAATTTTCCCCGAAATATATACATACGATAATAATAAAAAGTTCATAAAGCTCGAATTGGCGATCGTTCGAGTATCGATTATTTTGTTTTTGTAAAGCGATACGATTGCCTGCTGTTGCACTCGTGACGATGGACATTCATCGGCGCGGATGAATCATATCGATCCTCTCCGCGAGTCACACGCAGTCTTGTCGAGTTATAAACGAGAGAATAATAATACACAAGAGTGCCAAAACAATGAAGCTTATATTATCGAGGAAAAGCTTCGAGGCTCGCCGCAGATCCATCCATCTGTCTATAAATGCAGCACAGTGCTTTTCTCATATTTTTTGCACGTACACTGCGCGTCGACTGGCTGCGGCGGGCTTTGTCAGGTGCAACGAAGAAGAAGAAGAAAAAAAAATATCTCTCTCTCTCTCTCTCTCTCTAGCAAGCCTTTGAGAAAACGACGACGCCTGCCTATGTAATTTGTCTATTATTATTCTCATTGTCGTGTATAAAAGAAGGAGAGAAAAAAAAGAAGAAGAAGAAGAAGAAGGAGGGATTGCAGAGATCGGTGCGAAAAAAATCTCACTCGCGCTCTATCTATCGCTCTCGCGTGCGTGTATATCTCGACCGTAATATCAATAAAATATATATACAGGCAGGCAATGAAAGGAAGAAAAAAGAGCTTTGAATTACACATGCGGTGAAGTCCGAACAACATATTTCGAATAGTCGTCGTCGTCGCCCGGCGATAATTATGACGAATGTACGGTTTTTAATATAAAAAAATATAAAATACCGAGATACGCATCTGTACGTAATACCTCTTTACAACAAACTTTTTCTTTAACTCGCGGGTAGACAATGGACGAGACACAAGAAGAAGATCCACACACACACACACACAAGCGATATAAGCCTCTCACTTTCTGAAGTCGCCCGTCTGTGCCGTGCGCTGTATGTATATGTACGAGTGTGAAATCCCATCATCAATCATATTAACTATGCCGTATCACCGAATGCAGCCAACACATATGAGGTATCTACATACATCCGCGCATGGTTAAGTGGAATATATATGATTATATTGTAGGCAAGTCATATTTTTCATATTTTTTACGCATAAATTTGTCATCCATTTATCTCCCGGTGTCGCGTCGTCGAAGTGTCACACGATATCCCAGTGTAATCATAACGCGCTGGATTCCATATTAATATGAAATTACGATTCCGTGTGTACACGCGCTCGCTCGCTCGCGCGCACGCGGCCTACCTCAAACACGCGGCTAACGCATCGAGAGAGATGATCGTCGTCGGCTCTCGAAGA